GCTTGCGCTGGCTACTGGTGATGGTGGAGGAAGCTTCAGGCTGTGTCTTGAGGTAAGGAGAGCCAGGGGCCCCCAGGAAAGGCTTGGTTTGGTCCTGGAGGGGGGCAAAGTATCTTTTTGTATGCTTTTTTGAGGACTGGAGAAAGGAGGAAATAACTATTCTTTTAGAGCTGCAGCTTCCAAAGTGGGGTGCTTATGAGGGCACAAGATGATTGAGGTGTGATAAAATATATTGAAATTCTAGTAACAGTTTTAAAAACAATCATTAAACAGTACCTTGTTAGGTGAGGGTCCACACACAGAAAAACCTTTTATTATTATTATTATTATTAACAGAGAGTATAGCTAACAGAAAAGGCTTCTAGAACAAGACTCCATCAGGAGTTGGGGGTAAGAGGAAGCACAGCAGGTGGATGGGTGTATATAGATTTGGAGTAGCTATTAGCGGCCCCTGCTGGTCATTTTCAGAAGTGCACTATCACGCCACTCAGCCATCCAGATTTGTAGGAAATTCAGAGAATTTTTTTTATTGTCTCCCTATTTTTATTTCTCCCTATACCCTGACTCCCAAAGTTCAGGGGTGAATATCCACCAGAGGAAATCCTGGATTTCAGGGGAATCAGAGACATTACCTAAGTTCTGTCCCCACTGGGGTGGAGGCAGGGAGAAAGACTGAGGGGAGGAGGGCTTACTCCCTCACTTCCTCCCAACCCCAGCAAGACAGGCAGCCCCTATGGGATACATTATCAGGGGCCCTGAAGTCCTGTTCCCTCCCCAATTACTCTATTCCCCACCAATAGCATCTCCATTTCTTTGGGGGTCCAGCTTAGCATAATTACCTGTTATGATATTCAACTGTATAACCAGAAAATGCTTTTTTCTGTCTGCGCCCACCTCCTGGGCCTCCAGCCTGGACTGAACCCTAGGAAATCAGGGCCCTTATCTGACTCAGGATCACAGAAGTGGGCATCTTGTCTGGAACAGAATAGGCGCACTGTCTGCTTCAGAATTGTTTCTCCCCATTATGTGTCCTCACAGGGCAGCTTGTTATGAAAATCAAACAATTTATCAATGTTAAGTTCTTGAATGTATGTCAGGGGCTGGCATTCTATAAGTCCCTTTTAAAGGGAGATATTTATTATTAAGGGGGTGGAGGGGCAGCTGGTAAGGAAAATGAATTGAAAGTAAATGAACTCCCCCGTCTCAGTGGGCCAGAATCTGGGGATCCTGGTCTTGGGGATCCTGAATGGGATGGGAGGTTTTCTGTGGTTAGCTGTGCCTGGTTGAGAAGCAAGTAATAAAAACACCAGGATTAGGAGGGATTCAGGATCCTTCCACTTTCCAACCCTGTGCAAATAGCCAAGTAGTTCCCTGTCCAGAGTTGAACAAGTGAGATTGGAGGGCAGCCTTCATAATGAGGGGGCTTCTGCTTGGACTGAATTAGGAGCATCTCTGACTTGAAGGCAGAGGAGAGGGTGGAAAGCCCTGGGCTCCAGAAGACTGTTTTGTCAGATCAAAGCCTGCAATTCCAGTTCCAGCCATCTGGAGTCATAAACTAACTTCTTCACTCTGGGTGGGAGGCACCTGCACATTAGGGCTTTCTGCAGAGTTTGGCTTGATTATGTGGCTTCCCCCTATACTTACACAGAAACATATGCTCTGGGAGCTCAGGGGCCAGCTGAGTCTCCGAGAAGGGGCATGGGGACCGGACCAAGTCCCTTACTTCTGGGCTGGAGTCCCAAGTAAAACAGTTCCTGAGATTTCCAAGCAGTTTCCAGGATGTGGTTCATTTTCGATTTTAGGAGCCTAGTTCACACCAAAGAGGGATGGCTCCTGCACATTGCAGAGGGTAATTTGAGTTGGGGTGTGGGGGCGTGGAGGGGGATGGTGCAGAGGTCAGAGATAGGCGGGGGATGCCTCCAACTGCTTTGTTGCACTGAGGGAGGGTGCGGAGCAGAGCGAGCGTCAGTATTCTGGGGCCAGAGCTATCTTTTACTAGCAGGTCTGGGGCGGAGCCGGAGGCAGGGCGAAGGCGGGCAAATGAAATTAACCCCTTATTTACTTCTGGAGAAGGATCCTGAGGAAGAAGAGCGAGTTTCTTCTTTCTGTTTCCCGTAGTCAGGGGTATGGATCAGTTCCCCAATTCTGGCATAAACAGGTCTTCAACTCCTTCGCAAAGACGTTCCCTTCCTCCCTTCCTGCCGGCCACCCCAGTTTTCTAACTTGCCTGCGATCTAGAGATGTACCATTGCAGTCCTTAAACATTTACCCTGACCAGAAGCTCCATGAGGGTGAGTCTATTGTTACTTAGAGAGCTCACCAAGCTCCTGTTTTCTTTCTCAAGCGGTAAGCAGCTTAACGAGGAAAGGGGGTGCGCGCCTGGAAGTGGAGAGCGCGCTCCGCTAAACTGAGTGGAGGGGGCGGAAGCCGCTTTTCCCCATCGCCCTTTTAAGGGAGCTGGTAGGTACTAGGGAGGGACACTTGTGTCCAGGCCCTAGTCCGAGCTTCCCCGAGTGGGGTCTGGGCAGGAGGTCGTGGGCTGAGCCTGTCTCCCAGGTCGCCACGCTCCCGCCCCTCAGCTGCTCGGAAACACTGTTTCCCCCGGGATGCCCCGTGGCGTCGCGAGCCTCCATCCCTCCTCTCCCCTCTGGGTCTCCGCCCCTCGCGCAGAGGAGGCCTTGCCGCTTTAAGAGCCGGGACAGCGATTGACAGGCAATAAACGCGGAGCGCCCGGCTGCGCCGGTGCCGCCCGGAGCTAGGGGCTCCCCGGAGCGCAGGTAGGTGGCCCCCCACCGCCCCGGCCCCAGGATCTGCACCCATCCTGGAACTCCAGTCCCGTTTTCGTCCTGGCACGGCACTTGGGACCCGATTCTCTGGGTCTGATCTTCCCGGGCCCCTTAGGCCGTCCCCTCACTCTCCGCACCCCCTCTTTCTCGGTGGCTCCCAGGGAGAGAACAGACCCCGCAGCCCTTTCCGTTGGCCCCGGCCCCGCGGCGAGCGCTCCAAAGTGACGTCAGGCACAGAGGTGGTGAGCTCTGGGGGGGCCAGGTGCCTCGCGGCCGCCCCGGGGGCTGTGCGGATTCTGGGGACTTGGGAGCCGCGCATTACGTAAGAGCCGCTCTGCTGGAGCTTCCGGGGGTGGGGGCGCGAGACTGAGGCTGTGTGGGTCCCCGTGGCACTACGCCCCCCTGCCAGGCTGATGCCATAGTTTTCCCTAGGAGGGGGTCCTGGGAAGGGGGTGCTCAGCTTCTTCCGCCTCCTGGGCTGTAGGGGTGGAGCGTCGGGGTCCCCGGCCGGGGCTGGGGTCTGAAGACCTGGAGGGGGTCGGTGTTAGAAGCGGGGAGTCAGGGTCCGAAAGTTAGGTCAACTAAATGGGGGAGGGGGAGCGAGGGCGGTGTTGGGGATGCTGTGGAGGGGGGGGGCAGTCATTCAGTGACCTCATCCCCCTGGTCTCCCGCGGGCGCGCGCGCAAAGAGCCTTCTTTGATGGCTCGCCACACGCCCCCTCCCCCAGGTCCTAGCGCCCAGCATGTTAGGGATGAGCCCGGGAGGCCTGGGCGATCGATTGTCTGTGTGCGCGGGATCCGCCGGCCTCTAGACCCCCATCTTCTGGCCTTCGGTCGGCCCCTCCCCGCGACCTGTCGGTCTTCAAAGCGCCTTTGCTAGACCCTTCTCCTCTGCATCTCTTTGTACTGATGGAGCAGTGGGTGGGAGGTGGAGGAAATCTCCCCCTTTCAAGGCTGGCCCGCATCACCCACCCACATTCTGGTTGACGGGGATCGCCTGGAGATAGGGGTAAGAGGGCACCTGGGCCCAGCGATTTTGGAAGCCGAGGTGCGGGTTTCCAGACCTCTGGGCCTGGGACCCTGGCCTGGAGCCAGGCTGGCTAGCCTGGCACTGCTGTCCTCCAGTGGCAAGAGCCAGACCCCGCCCTCTCTGAGGCTTGGGTGGGGGTGGGGCAGAGCTAGCTGAAGCCGTGGGAACTGACTCCCCCGGCCTTCTGGGGACGGGATCCACTGGCTTCTTCCCATCTGCACTTGTTGGGGAAGGAGGATGTTTGCAGTCCCCTCTACCTGTCAGTACCTGTCGGAGAGCAGTGCCAGCCAGGGAAGGTTCCAGGTTCCTAGCCTTCAGGACCAGGGATGGGGGCGGAGAGAGAGGGAGGAAGGGATCCCTCCTTGCAGCTCTCCAGGAATCGGGACAGCAGGGGGCACCAGCTCGCGTGGACCTTGGGCATTTCTTCCAGCCTGGGTGCTGGCACCACAGCTGCCTTTCCCTTCTCTGAAAGCTCCTTCCTACCCTGCCCTCAGGGGCAGACCCAGGAGGAAAGGGAGACTTTCCTTCACCTTTGCAATTTCTGCAATCTGAGCTCAGGTGACCAGCTTAGGACAGGGAGGGGGTGGGAGTGGGCCTGGTTCAATCCAATCAGGTAGTGGTCCCTCTGGGGAGAATCCTGTTTTGGTGGGGCAGGTGAAGTTGTGGCTCCCCACCCCCAGGGCCCAGAAGGCATTCAGTCCTAAAGTGGGCACTGCCAGCTGCTTCCCTCCACTCCCCCACCCCTGCTGTGAGCCACTGCCTCCTGTTGTCATGACAACTGGGAATTAGGGTTTTCTGTGGCAGCACAGGCCCAGGAAGGCAAGGGAGGAAGGTAGATGCCCCTGGACCTCTCCCCAGCACCACCTGGGCTGAGGACCTGGAGGATGGGGGCGGGCTGGGGGGGGCAACTCCAGCTTGGGGAGACCCTGGGATAGGGACTGGGGCTGGTTCTGCCAGGCATAATTCTGCCCAGAGCCCCCTGGTCTCTGTGTGCCTGCTCTGGGATAGGAAGGGGTGAGGGGGCAGAGGAAACCAGGGACAGGAATGCCTGTAGACAGCCTGCTCTGTGCCAGTCCTCAGATCAAGGTGAGAGAGCTGATGTGGTTCTGGACCTCAGGGAGTTTCCTGTCTGGGAACACCCACTCATCCTGCTGTTGACTCAAATTGTGGCTCTTACTCACCCCCTACCCAAAAAAAGGCATGGTAAGCAGAAACAATTTTAGGAAGTGTTACACTTGGGTTCTCATTATAATTCTTTGAGCATTGTGACCTTGGGCAAATCAATTAACCTCTCTGATCACCTGTCTAGCCCCCCTGGAGAGATGGGTGGGTAATGTCTGCTCCAGAACAGTGGGACCATCCACTTCTGGGCAAGCCCTCTCTCTCCCTCTTCAGCGCTGCCTGGGGGCAGGGAGGGGGTGTGTGGGGGGTGTCCTGTTGCTTCCCCTTTTCATTGCCTTGGTGGTGCTCACCCTCCCCTCTCTCCCCTCTCCCTTTTTCAGGAGAGGCATTTCAGAGCCTTTGCTGACCTCACCATGCCGGTCGCGGCCACCAACTCTGAGTCTGGTAAGAAGGGGGTGAAAATGTCAGTTGATATCTGTGGTTCAGAGGTGCCAGGCAGGCAAAAGGTGGTGGGGAGCAGCGGTCAGGTACTCCCGAAGCTCCCTGAAAGAACAGGTGGCCCCCCACTGCTGCTCCAGCTAGCTACTCCCTCAGCCTCTCCTCCAGTCTCTAGGGCCACCTGCTCTGAGTGAGGGACCCTGTGTAGAGCATGCTGGTGCCCAGAGGAGACAGGGCACAGCTCCCCTGTGTGCAGGGACAGGCTGGATGAGCCACATCACTGCAGGAGGGCCACGGCCTGGGGCAGGCTGGATAGAGACCTGACTCCTAGGAGCCAGTGGCTGGTGGTACTTTAGCAGCACAGCTCTGGCACAGAGAAGTCACACAGGTGCACACCAGAGGGGCAGATGGAGACCAGCACGTGCTAGGGACAGGGGAGGGGTGTGATGCTGGGGCACTGGAAGCTGTTCCTGGAGAAGGCCGGGGTGCAGGGGGTGGCCTCGCTGTGTTGCGGGAGCTGCTGACCTGGCGTCTTTTAGGGCCTAAGTTTCTGCATCAGTGTGGGATGGGAAAGATCAGTGTTCTTAACTTTTCTTGCTCCTGGATCCCTTTGAGTATCGCATGCCAGGCTCATCATAGACAGATGCTTTTATGGACAGCACCTGCATTCCAGTCAAGGGCTCCATGGACTTCCTGAAGTGCACTCGGGGCCACCACACGACAGTCCCTGTCTAGAGGGTCTCTAAGGGCCCTATGACACTGCTCTGGCTTGTCTCGTTTGTCTGAATCACGCCCTGCTCGCGTGCCTCCTGGCCCAGGCTGGTGTCTCACTCTGGGCCTCCTGCTACCTCTGCAAGACGTCCAGGTCTCCTCAGTAGGTTAAACTCCCCTGTCCCTCCTTTCCGAGAAACTGACCCAGTGGAGTGAGGCTGCTGGGAACTGACCAGAGTCAAGCTGTGACGCCTGGTCTCCCGGGAAGGCGGCTTCTCCAGGCAGTGTGGAGGCTGCACAATGTCGCCAGTGCCTGCAGCTTGGAGACTTCGCTGCCTCCATCTTCTGTCCAGCCTCCTGGGCCCCCTGGGCTCCTCTCCTGCTCTAGCCTGTCTGGGCCCCACTGAAAGCTGCTTAGGGGTTAATTAAACCCATCCCTGAGCCTGTGATTAAAGGATTCTCAATCGGGGCTGCCTAGTAAACCCACTAATAGCCCGTGGAAGGGGTGCAGGGGAGGGGAGGGCCCAGCAATCGACTTTACTTTGGAAGGTGACTTGCTGGGGACAGAGTGGGGTGGGGGCCAGGGCAGCGAGAGAACCGGGGGTGTGGGCCTGGGACCTGCTTTCTCTGATGATATGTCATGGGCTCCTCAGCCTTCCTGTAGCAGCAAGGACAGAGGAGGGGGAGGGGAGCTGGTCCCTGCTCAGAGCCTCTGTTTCCTCTCCCTAAAGAGCTGAAGCAGGGGTGGGAGACAGACTTCCCCTCAGGCAGTTCTCTGTCTGCCCGAGGGCTAGATTGGTTCCTGGCCCCAAACTCCAGAAGTGGCTCCTGACCTTCTCATTGGTGGGCCTCCCACTTCTCCTTGCTCTGATGGAGACAGCTGTGCCCTGAGACCAGTCACCCACTAACCTCTCCCTTCCCGGGGAGAGCACTGCCTGGCTGGGTAGAGATTGAAGCTACAGCCGCCCTTCTCCCCACCTTCACTCCAGCCTCACCCCCCAGTGTGCTCACTGTCCCGGTGGAGGGAGGGAAGGGCCCCCCCCACCCTCCCCCGAGCTGGGCAGGTGGTGGTCTGTCTCAGTGCTCAGAGAACTTAACCCTGGTGTCTTCAGTCTGACTGGCCTCTCTTCCCCTTCCCTGACCCCCTCCTTTGAATGGCGGAGGGTTCAAGGTTGCTTCTGGGTAGAGCTGTCCCTTTAAATCTCGCCCTCACCCCTACTTGAGGTCCCCTGTGTAATCCCCACCTGCTGCCTTGGCAAACAGGGGTGTGAGGCAACTTGGTGCTGCCCCTCAGGGACAACTGTCTGGTGGCAGCAGCTGCCCCTGGCGGTGGCCTCTTGGGTTAAGGGTATCAGAATGGAGGCACCCGGCTGGGGGGTCTGCCTATTCTGGCCATTCTGCCTTGTCCTGAGTCAGGAATAAGCCCCCCTTTACGTTCCTCCATTCCAAGATTTGCTTGCCCAGGGGCTCCCCTCCTTGCTCAAGGAGGAGAGCTAAGGGACTTGTGGGTTGGAAGCACCCTTCCTGCCCACAGGCGGTGCCCGATCCCCAGAGCCCCATTCCCCTCCTTCCAAGGCTGGCCAGTAGGAGATGGCTTGGGGGGCTTGAGGTTTTTGCCCCCATACACCGTGGAGCTGTAGCCTGAGCGTTCTTGGGGGTTTCCTTTGAAGTTCTCGGGTGATTTAGGGAAGGGCCTTCCTGCAGGGAGGGAGGAACAAGATGGGGCCAGGTCCTTCCAGCTCCACCCCCCTCCATCTGGTACCGAGAGGCTGGTATCTGGGCATCCTCACGGTCCTGAAGGGGCAGCAAGCTTAACTCACTCCCTCTGCCCCCCAACCCTCTCAGCTTCCTCCTGCCACCCCCATGGGTACTAAAAAAAACGTGGAGGATTGTCAGGCCCAGAGAGCGAGACCCCATCTTTCCCAGCGCCTCCCCCACCTCCAGCAGCCTGCAGACTGAGCCAATCAGCGAGGTGGCCAGAGCAGCAGAGCCTTGCTATTGGCTGGCCCTGCAGCGGGCGCTCCCCGGTCCCACCCTCCTCGCTACCCCTCTACCTGGGAAGGCGGCCGACGGCGGCTTGGAGGCTACTTGGAGCCCCTGGCTGAGGGCGGGGTACAGCCATGGCGGGCAGCCCAGGCAGCGGGGTCTCCTTGGAGGGTATATCCCTGGGGTCCTCTGAGGAAGCTGAGCTCCGGAGGGAAGGTAGGAGAAAGGCGAGGCGGGGAGGGGGGAGGCTGGGGGAAAGCGGGTCCTGCAGGTTTCCAGGTTTGGGACACCTGGAAAGGGTCCCCTAGGAGTCGACTCCTGGGGTTCTGAGGGGCTGCCGCTGGCCCACACAGTGGGCCCCAGCTCTCCTGTCCTCCTGGTGGCCGCTGGGAGGTTGGGGAACTGACCCAGGGTATTCTGAAAGAAGGGGGTCCCTGCCCTGCCGGCTTTCTGAGCCCACTAATATACCTTGCAGGTCTCTGATCAGTGCCAAACCCAGAGGTGGGCAGAAGGGGTCTTGAGGGCCGCTCTGAAGTTGTTTCTGCGCAAAGTGTGGCGGGCAAGAGAAGCGAGGAGTCCTGGCGCCCCTAACAGTGCCTGCCTGCTCCAGTTACAGGGCCCCTCCCCCACCCCATTCCGTCTAGCGCAGGCAGGGCGCTGACAAGGGTGGTGAGAGGTGCCAGGGATTGTACCCACCCCCCTCCTCCATGACTTGGGTGCTGTTATGCAGATGTAAGTGTGGGTGGCAGGGTGGCAGAGTAATGATAGCCCCTGCCCATCTCTGCCCCCAGCTGGGCACACTCGGCTTCTCCCTTCCTTCCCCCAGAACCTGCTGCTCCAGGAGCCCCCACCTCTGCTGTGGGTGAAGGAGCTTGGCAGTCACTGCAGCGGCCTGTGCTTGGAGCGCCTGTGTCTTTCTTCTGTCCTACCCCAGACTGAGGGTTTGCTGCTCCCTGGCATGACTCAGTCTCACCTCTGACCTTGGGTGCCCACCGCCATCCCAGGGCGCATTTCCCCAGCTTCTGCCAGTGTTCCAGGCCTCAACTTTGACAATCCAGACTAATTTCTCTGTCACTACAGATTATGGCCAGAGCTGAAGGGTCTGTAGCTGCTGTCTAGCCCAGCCTGCCCACCTCATGGAGGGGAAGACTGAGGCCAGTGAAGGACATCAGCTTGTGCAAATCACACTGAATTACAGGTGCAGCTTGTACAGGATGCTGCGTGGTTCCTGGCCTCTGGCATGGCTGTCGGCTTGATTCTAGGTCCGCAGTTAGGGACACACTCTAAGTGCTGTCTCCTCCTTGAGCCACAGATCCCATGGTTGAGTCCTAGGGCTTTAGCCTGGCAGAGATTGAGAGGGGAGCCCTTGACGCTCTGATTCAGGCCAGAACTTGGACCCTGACATTTACTTCCTTTTCTCTACCTGCTCAACTGGCATTACCTAGGGAGGAAAGAACAGACCAAGAAAACTGTATCCTGCCATAGGGCCCAGGCATTCAGGGCGTGGAGTGCCCATGTTGGGCAGGGAGGGGTACAGCTGGGGAGGGCTGTTTTGCATGGCACCTGGGGGGTGCGAGGGGGATTGCCATGGTGTGTTTTAGTTTCCTGTGCTCAGCTGGTACCTGTATGTCTCACGATCTGCTCCTCCCCGCAGCCATGCAGCAAGTCCTGGACAACTTGGGGTCCCTCCCCAATGCCACGGGGGCTGCGGAACTAGACCTGATCTTCCTTCGCGGCATTATGGAAAGTCCCATAGTAAGATCCCTGGCCAAGGTACAGTGCTCCAGGGAGGTGGGCACAGAGTACTGTGTCTGGGAAGGTTGGTGGGGACCCTGAGAGTGGGTGGGGTACCTGGCCCAGGAGGCTGGTAGAGGGAGCTTGCATGAACACCTGGCCCAAGTGATGAATCCCAGTGATTGCAGGTCGGTCCATCCCACACCTGGCAGGTGAGAGTGTGTCTGTGCCTTGAGGCTGGGTATTTGGTGACCGCCCATTTGTGAGGGTCCCATAGGTGGGGTGAACAGGGCTGCTCTTTGAAATCTCCTGCCTGTCCCTCTGCTTTTGGCATCTGGTGCAGACATCTCAGCCATCAGTGGGGGGTGGGGGGTGGGGAGGGGGCGGGTAACGCTCACTAAGTGAGAAAGTTATAAAGCAGTTTGGCAACGGCAGTGATAGAGGTGGGTGCTCCTGGCTACTCGGAGTGTCAGGGACCAAAGGAGCCAGGCCTTGGGTGGTCAGGGAGGGCTTAAGGGGGAGGGGCTCTAGAGCTGAGCCTTGAGGAACAGGGAGAAGGGGGAGGGTGTTCTGTGCACAGAGGTGAGAAGGAGCCAGAAGTGTGTGGAGGACTGTGAGTGTGAGGCTGGAATTCCAGGTGTGAGACTGGGCGTGAGCTGTGGGCAGGTTATCTGGGCACTGGGGGCTGTGGGGGGCAGGGAGAAGGGAGGATGGCATATTTCTGTGAGCGCCCTGGCTCTAAGTGGAGTGTTCTAGGACCGCCCCTCTGGTCATCATTTGGGGGCCTGGCTGGGGCTCCAGGCTGGGGGGAGCAGAGTTGGGGCTGACCCTGAGCAGCTTCTGCAGCCCTGGAAGGAAGGAAAAAATATTTGGGGAGTAAATTGGTAGCCCATGGTGTTTGGGGTGGAAGGTGGGCTGGGGGCATCGAAGACCCAGATTCCACAGGGATCCAGGAGGGGCTGGAGGGAAAAGGAAGCCCAGTGCCAGAGAAGGGGAGGGGAGAAGCCGGGAGAATCCTGGTGGGGTTGCAGGTGTGGGAGGGGCATTTACAGTGAAGACTCCAGTATGGCTGAAGGGGAAGAGAGAGTAGGATCCCTGCCCCCCCCCCCAGTCCCATGGCAGGTGCCCAAGGCCTGGGGAGGGGTAGCTTAGTCTTTAGGCACAGAAATATAGAGTTGACTTTGGTCCGGACTTCGCTGGGCAAAGCCGAGGGAGGCTGAGACATGCGACAGTGTCAGAGGGTAGGTGAGCGCCTCCGAGCATCACCCATGAGACTGTGCTGGAGGGTGTCTCTGGGAGGTGTCAGTGGTCCAGAGAGAGGGTGTATGCTGGGGGAGAAGAAGGTGGCAGGGACAGCTGAGGGTGTGGCTGTGGGGGCTGGGCTGGATCGGACTCAGGGTGACAGCAGGCTTGGGGTGGGCCGAGTCTGGGCAGCCCCAGATTCTTCTGCAAGTGGTGGGGGAGTGACCGATGTGGTGGGGGTGACAATGACAGCGACGGTGGGGGCGAGCCGGTGGTGCAGCCAGGTGGTGGGGGTGGGGGCTTCCCCACAGGACAGCCCTGGCACGCTGGGACCCAGGCCTCACGGGGGACAGAGCCGCCTCCTGGGCCACGCGTGGTCACCTTGTCATTGATTGGCTGGAGGAAACTGGTTGTTAAGGATGGGACGCAAAAGGCCTTCCAGAAACAGGATGTTCTGTGGAAGTAACAGCAAAGCAGGTTTGGAGGCGACTGGAGAAAGGCAGTTTGCTTTCCACTCAGTGGCGGGGGTACATCTGTGCACTAAAAGTAAACTGAGGAACGTGAGCTGCACCGGGCTCCGGTGTCCCTGGAGCCGTGCACAGTGCCTGGCTTGCAGGTGGCGCTCACTGAATGTTTGCTGGGTAGAAGAGTACAAGAGTGTGAGAAATAGCAAGACGCGTGCCAACCCGCCCCCAGGTGTTGGTGCTGGCCGAGTTTGCTTCAGCGTGGCGCTCTGTTTTTAAGAATTAGAAAATACAGTGGAGTGGATGTCTCTCCCCCGCTCTCCCTCCCCGCACTTCACCACTGACTGGGGTTGCAGCTGCTGTACCCCTGAGTGCTTTTGCCTCTGTGTGTGTTCGGATGTAAGTCATATCCCCCCCCACCATTATGGGTTTTTTAGTTTTATAAAACACATAAGTAGTGTAGTTATTGACACACATCTAGCTGTAGAGAGGGGTAGACTCTTAGAGGAGCTGTCGGGGCTGTGTAAGGAGAGCCCCGTGTCTTTGTTTCTGGGTCCCCCCGCAGAGGCAGGCAGTGTTGCTGACTTACCGTTAAGGACCGAGCTGCTGTGAGCAACCCCCACCCCCATCCCACCCCCGCCATCTGCTTGCACACCGGAGTCTCTCCAGAGTGGGCGCTTGGCAGTGGAGTTGCTGAATCTGTGCCTTTCGAACCTCAACATCTGTGACCTTCCAAAGCTGGGTTGGGTTTATGAGACCACATCGCCCGGGCTCGTTAACTATTGCTTCGGGGAGAGGCGGTAAAATAAGGAGGGGCTCTTGGGAACGCAGAACCTCAGGCTTGGGGTTCTCTGGCCCACCCCCTCCCAAAGCACAATCCCCTCTGGGGCCAGGGCCAGTCCTCTTGGCAACTCGCGAGGGAGGGCCGGCCGGCTGGCTCTGTCAGTCGCTCGGTCACTCATCATCCGTCTTCTCAGTCAACAAGTGTGTCCTGCAAGCTCACCAAGTACCAGGCACCATGTGGGCAGCGGCTGGCAGATTGTCGCTCCTTTTGATGGGGCCCGATTCTGTCTTCCCACTGAGCCTCGCATGCCCAGGACCCAGGGCCCCGCCCCCAGCCCGGCTGACAGTTACCAATGCACCAGCCACATCACACGGTGGGTTAACTCCCTTCCCCAGAAATGTTCTTGGGGACGAGCTGTCAGAATGGCTTCCCAAGAATTCCTAGTGCACTTGCAGACGAACACAGCACCGCAGAAAACGGTGTCAGCATTACTTTGACTGGTGTGAGAGGCTGTTCAGCACCAGGAACCTCTCTCCACCTCAGCCAGGAAGTGAGTGTCCGCAAGGCCTGTCTGAGCTCAGCAGCGCCCCAGCCCCTGCGGCTGTGACTCCCAGGACCCCGAGACTCGGGGACGGAACTGCCTCTCTCCGTTGTCGAGTCCAGGCTTCCCCATGTGACTTGCTGTGGACAGTGGAGCCTACTTCATACTCCTACTCACCAACTTTATTTTATTTTTTTGCATTTTAAAAGGACAGGTTTATTAAGAAGAAGAGAAAGAAAAAGAGGGGTACTTGCATTGCCGCAGGTGGGCAGGAGCGCGCCCCTCACATTTCAGTGACCATGTATATAATGTCTAACCTAGTGGACAGAGTATTTGGCCCTGAGCTGCAGCTGCACAAGCCCCTCCCTCCTTACCTCCTTTCCACCCTTCTTCCTGCCCCTCGAGGCCCCTCGAACAGAGTCAGGGCGGAACTAATGAGGTCCCTACAACTCCTTCCCTTATCCTTACAGAGTCGAATTGGCTGACAGTGTGGGAGGAACTGGGCTGGGGAGATCCGAGATCAGGGAGGAGCAGGGAGGAACAAACTCAGAGGATTAAAGGCTCTGGAGGGAAGTCAAATCTGGCAGCTGCCCATAAATCCAGGGGCTGCCTGTCACTGGCATGTGGCAGCCGTGTGGCATCTGGGAGGGCAGACGTGAGTCCAGCAGCAGGTGTCGTGACAACAGGCCAGGCCCCGTGAGGAATCCATGCCAGGTGACACTCTGCCTTTCAGGCACACTTACCCGGGGGGACATCCGCCAACCTGGAGGCCTGTGAACGAGTCCGTCTGAGGTGCACAGAAAACAGTCTGGAGTCAGAAGACTCGCCAGGAGGCCGTGCGACCTCAGTATATCCCCCAGCCTCTCTGCGTGAAGGCCCCTCCTTCTGGAGAAGAAAGGATAAGACTTGCCTGTCTTTCAGAGTCTCAGTGGGGCTGGGGACGGTCATGGATGCAGACAGGCTTTTAAATGATAAAGTTGCTTTGATGTGGTCTTGGCCAGCGGAATGGAGTTGACAGGGGAGACTCCTCTCTTGTGGTCTGGATGGCATGAGAAAGCTGGCAAAGCAAGACAGGGCCCTCAAAGAATGAGGGGACCTCAGGGCCTGCTGGGAATGAGATTGGCCAGGGTCAGAGGCTGCGGTGGTAGGGGTGAAGGTACCGTCAGCTTTTTGCTGCACAACTAAGCACCCCACCATCCAGCGACCTGAGCACCTCATGATTTCGTGAGTTGGTTGGGCTGTTTTGCTGGCCTGGCCTTTGCTCAGTTGGGGTGGGTGGAGGATGGCCTTTCTCCCATGTCTGGGTCTCTGCTGGGGAGATGCTACCATCTAGGACGCCGAGGTCTTGCCTCCTCCAGGAAGGCAGCCAAGGTTTCTTCTGGGTGTGGTCTCAGCGAGGGAGGAGAGCCTCTGACCTTGGGCCCTCTCCAGGCCTCTCCGTGCATCGCGTTTGCTAATGTGGCGTCAATCAAAGCAAACCACGTGGTCCAGCCCAGCTCACGGAGTGCTCTTGCCTTCCTGCACACTACTCCCATTTGGCTTCTGGACTACTTAATTCCCTGTCTTCTGCCAGGACCAGAGGCTGGTGGGCAGGCAAATGCAAAGGTTTTCCAGGAAGTGTCTGTGTTGTTTCTGCTGTCTCCTCGTGGCCCTGAATGGGAGCTGGAAGGTCTGGGTGGCATGCGGCTCTAGCACTAACCAGTCGTGACCGTGAATCTGGCCAAGTGTTGTGACTATAACCAGCCCTGCTCTGCTGGGGAGGGGAAAGCTTTAGAGCGTGAAAATTGTGGTTACCACGGAAATTCAGAACAACTCACTCTCCTGCTTGTGGAACCCCGTGCCTCCCAGATTGTGAAGTCCTGAGAATGTTTTACTATTTTTTTAAAGATTATTTATGCATTAAGAACTGGGGTACAGGCAATGAGAGGATTCACAAGAGACAGAGTGGGGAGCAGAACAGGCAGGTTGATGAAGTACACTGCTGAGGGGAGCAGCGGGCGGGTCAGGAGAGGTCTGCCGCGCCATGTGGGTCAGCTCTCTGGCCGGGCATTGAACTTGTGCTACAGAGGCTTCTGGTAACTTCATGGTGCTGAGACGTAACCCCTTGAGCCACTGGGGAGACCCCTGAGAATGTTTTCTAAGAACAGGTGCACAGATAGTGATCCCATAGCTGTGGGGGAGCTCGGAGGGTCAGAAACTTTGTCCCTGGTGTATGTTGATGAACATCATTCATTCATTTCTTTAAAAATGAATTTAAGAGAGATTTCATTTCATCTGCTCTGCCCTGGCATACTTGACTTTCTGATCTCGCAGGGTCGATGGCACACTTGAATGGGGTGCTGTTTTGCAGGGGTGCTGTTTCATCATGGAGCATGCCTATCGCCCAGGCCCAGCAGGCCTGCTCCTGGGGGAGGCTTTCACAGGTGCACCCCCAGGACACTGCTTTGAATGCTCATAGCCACACTGTTCACCATGACAAAAACTGAATACTCAGTGTTTCCCAAGGAGAGAGGAGAGGAATAAAACATGGTGTGTTCACACAATGGACTGTAAAAGGGGCTGAAATAAACTAACATGGTGTGGGAAAAGGATAAGATGAATCATAGCAATCTCATAATAAGTGAAATGTTTCACTTAATAACAATAAGTCATAGCAAAGTAATAGTAAAAAACAGTAAGTGAAATAAATTTTTACTTTGTAACATTAAGATAAAAAAATATATATGTATACACGCACACACGCAGCCCACTTCAAGAAACAATCTCATTTCACTCATGCTTCCACTCCTCTCTGGAATTATTTTGAAGCAAATCTCAGACATAATTTTATCTGTATATCTAAAAGATAGTGATTTAAAAAATTATTTAAACAGTAATTCAAAACAATCCACACTATTATCACGCTCATAGAAGTGAAGCAACCATTTTCTTATGGATTTTTAATATGTGACACTGGGCCTCCGGTAAGCATTTGGAAAGATAACAAAGTAGATTATACCTCACACCACATCTTAGAGCAAACTCCAAGCAATCAGAGACCAAAATGTGAAAAAACAAACCACATGAATCTGTGTGTGAAAAAAGACTTGAAACAAAAAAACTGTGCCTCAGCCTTCAGCTGCATCTATGATTAATTTTAACTACATTCAAAAAGTCACTTTGCACTGGCAAAAGAACCATAGCAGAATCAAAAGACAAACTGAGAAAAATATATGTAAGTGATATCACATATAAAGGGCTAATCTTCTAACTTATAGAGAATGCTGGAAAGTGGGAGAAGCGGAGGGGCCTCCTGATGGTGCAGTGAGTTAAAGCGCAGCACATGAAGCTGAACGCAGCCACTGCAGCCTGAGTTCGATCCCCGGCCAGGGAGTGATCCGCATGGCCCAGCAGACCTCTCCTGTCTCATCCACTGCTCCCTCAGCTCTGTATTTCATCAATCTGCCTGTTCTGCTCCCCACTCTGTCTCTGGTGACTCTTCTCATTCCCTCCACCCCCATCCAGCACCTCTGGCCTGTATACCAGTTCTTGTTTGCATAAATAAATAAATCTTAAAAAAAAAAAAAAAGGGAGGGGGTGAGGAAACAAGACCTAATAGAAAATTTGGCAACAGACAATTCACAGAAAAAACATACAGATGGCTCTAAACATATGAAGAGCTGCTCGCTTCGCTCATAATCAGCACAATGCAAGTTGAGCCACCTGCCAGATTCTTTCTCATGCCTGTGATTGGCAGATATTCAAAGGTTTGATCACACACCCAGCATCAAGGCTTCAGGAGAGTCTTCGTGTGGGCTGGTGGGAGGGGGGCACAGCAACCCTGAGCCCACAGAAGGAACTCTGTCAATATCCAACAAAACCACGCAGGTATTTACCGCTGGGCTCTGGGGACCTGTAGGAATGGTAGGGAAGGCTGTTGATATGCCTGTCATACAATGAGTCAAGTGAGTAGTTACCAAATCAGGGATTGCCAGGTAACAGTGTAGGTGGCTTCCAGGGCATATTGTTGTAAGTAAAAAACAAAATAAATCAAACCAATCAAACAAGCAAGCAGATCCTCAAGTATCAAAAAGCATATCTAAGAAAGAAAGAGCAATAGTTATTTTTGTGAAAAAAAACCTGAAAACTCAGAAAGTAATAAAGACGATTAATTACCTCTGGAATGTGTGTGTGGATAAGGCTGGAAGTGAGATTCTTCAAGTTTACTTTATAGATGGATTTGAAATTTAAACCATATGAACATTGTTCATACTAAAAAAAAAGATTAAATTGAAGAGATTGCAAAACATAAAAATTAAATGCAGATAACAATCTATCCATGAATCAAAATTGTTAGCATAATCATATAGGAAAAGAATGACTTAAAGTAACTTTTAAAAAATGTATTTATATGTGTGCGTATATATATATATATATATATATATATATACACATATATAATTTTTTTGGGTAAAGATTCATTTATTTATACATACAAGAGCTGGGGTACAGGTCAGAGGTGCAGGGAGGGGCGCAGTGGTCAGGACAGGAGAGGTCTGCTGTGCCACATGGGTCACCTCCCTGGCCAGGGATCGAATTCTTGTTGCAGTGGCTGCGGATAGCTTCACAGTGCTGCACTTTAACCCCGTGCGCCGCCAAGTGACAAGAGTGTATAGTACTAGATTACTATTACTGATACTGATATTATGTGTCAGTGTTAAACTTTATTTTGGATATTATGTTTGGTGGATGTAGCAGTGTGCTTATATACCTTGGGGTCAAGTGACTTGTATCTGCAACTAACTTTCAAGTGATCCAGACGTGTCTGAGATGGTACTTTTTTCCCCACCCACCTGGCATAACGCCCCCTGGGGGCTGGTCACCTGTACAGGATCCCTGTTCCCTTTCAACAGCGTCTAGACCTGGATCCCAGAGTTAGTAGAGCAGCGCCCTCTGCTGGTGCCCTGTGGCGATTTCTTGACACCCCCCCTCTCCCCCCGCCCCCCACTGGCAGCATTCAGCGCTGTAGTCCCTGTGACCTGGACCTGTCATTCCACCTTCCTGGCTTCCTCATCCTGGGCTGCAGAGTATCCGAGATTCCGCCCAACCCTGATGTGGGCAGGAGAAGCCGACCTTGAACGCAAATGCTTATAGGGGACAGCTCGATACTTTCAATGTAATCAGAGGCTGAAGTGGAAGCAAAAGTCTGTCCTCTGCATTGTCCCGTCCCTACAGAGGGTCCTAGTCGCCATTTGAGGGGAGGCAGCAAGATGTGAGAGTGGTGATGTCTGAGTGAGGCCAGCGCTGATACCAGGAGTGATGCCACATGGGGTCTAGAGCCAGGACTTGGAGAGGGGAAGCTGTCTGGGGGCTGGCGGGGCACTGCGTGGGACCCCAAGGAGCTGGGGAAGCCCCAGGCCTCGCCTGTTCTGCCCACCCCCAGGCCCACGAGCGGCTGGAGGAGACGAAGCTGGAGGCCGTCCGGGACAACAACCTGGAGCTGGTGCAGGAGATCCTGCGGGACCTGGCGCAGCTGGCTGAGCAGAGCAGCACGGCCGCCGAGCTGGCCCGCATCCTCCAGGAGCCCCACTTCCAGGTTCCGGTTCCGCCCTGATGTGGGGGGGGAGTGGGGAGGACTGGACAGGCGGCTGGGGGAGGGGCCACATGAGTTGGAGCCGGGTGGGGAAGGCCCCTCCGCCCTGCGCTATGGTTCCTCTTGTTGCCACCACCACCCAGTCCCTCCTGGAGACGCATGACTCCGTGGCCTCGAAGACCTATGAGACGCCGCCCCCCAGCCCTGGCCTGGACCCCACGTTCAGCAACCAGCCTGTGCCTCCCGACGCGGTGCGCATGGTGGGCATCCGGAAGACAGCTGGAGAGCATCTGGTGAGGGGCCCCCGAGGGTGGTGGGGTTAACCCGCGGGGGTCAGATCTGCTCGGGAGAGGGCTGAAGGCCCAGCAGCCTGCAGACCTCGCAGACGGGATAAAACCGATCTGCACACGCATCCCCCTACCCCCCCAGTGCTTCTGCTAGTGAAGAATCTGGGCGGAGGAGGGCTCTGGGGTTCGAGTCGAAGGGTGGGGTCCAAGTGGGGGGTGCTTAGACGCATTTGCCTTGAAGCAGTCGGGGGTCTCACTGTGGCTGCGCTCCGTCCCCAGGGAGTGACATTCCGCGTGGAGGGCGGGGAGCTGGTGATCGCTCGCATCCTGCACGGGGGCATGGTGGCCCAGCAAGGCCTGCTGCATGTGGGCGACATCATCAAGGAGGTGAACGGGCAGCCTGTGGGCAGCGACCCCCGCGCGCTGCAGGAGCTCCTGCGCAGCGCCAGCGGCAGCGTCATCCTCAAGATCCTGCCCAGTTACCAGGAGCCTCACCTGCCCCGCCAGGTGGGCCCCACCCCACCCCCGCACAAGGCCCACGGGTGGCTGAGCCTCCAGCTGCCAGGGCTCTAGGCCTCTACAGCCCGACAGTCCCCCACAGTGGGGACACAGGCTCCTGTTCTCCCAATCCATGTGCTCAAAGCAAAACAGGGCACAGGACCAGCAGAACCAGCCAGGTGCCAGCCTCCAGCCTGGTGCACCTGCTCATGGCATGCACAGGGACAGGGCGCAAGACCTGGGCTAGCTGAGTGTGCAAACGAGCGTGCCTGTTGTGTGTGGTGTAGAGCGTACAGCTGCCTCCTGGTGGTAGATTGTGGGGGGATGGCTGGCTGCTCTGACCCCCTCCCCTGTGGCTCTCTGACCGTCAGAGAGGGAAGCAGATAGGGTATCTCTCCTTTTCTCCCAGGGAAGGGGCGGTGGGTGGAGGAGCCAGGAGATCCGGGTGGGGGGGACCAGGCCTCAGGCCTGAGCAGATCCCTGATCCTTCTATCTGAGTCCCTTTGTTCTAGAAGCTAAGGGGGGCTGGCACCAGGGAGGTGGGCAAGGCAGGCAGTCCTGGAGGCCGGCCGCAGCCCTGTGCCCGAGGTGGGAGAGCGGGACTCTAGTGCTCAGGACACGCCAGGCCCCAGGACACGCTCCCTCCAGACTCCCCAGCCTTCCCTGACCCTTCCCCTTCCTGGCTCAGGTGTTTGTGAAATGCCACTTTGACTACGACCCTGCCCGAGACAGCCTCATCCCGTGCAAGGAGGCTGGTCTGCGCTTCAGCGCCGGCGACTTGCTCCAGATCGTGAACCAGGATGACGCTAACTGGTGGCAGGTGCGCCGGCCTTCTCCCCAGCCGCGTGCAGGGGTGAGGCTGGTGTGTGGGGTGAGGGCCTGGGAGGCTTCCTCTCACTCAGGCAGCGCTTGGCCTGCATCTGTTTCAGGCCTGCCATGTAGAAGGCGGCAGTGCCGGGCTCATCCCCAGCCAGCTGCTGGAAGAGAAGCGGAAAGCCTTCGTGAAGCGCGACCTGGAGTTGACACCCACCTCAGGTACGAACCCCCAGCCCGGGCCCTCATTGGGCCTGAAGCAGCCTTGCCTGACCCCATCTCCCTATGACCAGGGACCCTCTGTGGCAGCCTTTCAGGAAAGAAAAAGAAGCGAATGATGTATCTCACCACCAAGAATGCAGGTGGGTGTCGAGGTGCCCCTCCAGCATGGTGTGACCCCTCGCGCCCCCCATGACCCTTGGGTGTGCTGTTCTGAGTCTGCTGCCGCCAGTGTGGCCTTTGGCCCTGCCCCGCTTCTCCGCTCCCAGCCCTGTGCTCGCTCTTGGCCTCCGGAGCCCCCAGGCGCCCCCCACCTCCCCGCCCCAATGAGCAGCTTGGTGAGTGGTACCCTCTCCCTGTGTGCAGAGTTTGACCGCCACGAGCTGCTCATTTATGAGGAGGTAGCCCGCATGCCCCCCTTCCGCCGGAAAACCCTGGTGCTGATCGGGGCGCAGGGTGTGGGCCGGCGCAGCCTGAAGAACAAGCTCATCATGTGGGACCCGGATCGCTACGGCACCACAGTGCCCTGTGAGTGGGAGCTGGGCTGTGGGAGGGGACGGGGAGCAGGGCTGGGGCGGGGCTGGGGGTGTGTGGGGGGGAGCTGCGGGCGGGGAAGGCAGGGGGCCCTGTCCCAGGATCCCCGGGACTGGTGTGCCGAGCCGGCCTGCCTGCCTTTCCTTCTGTCGAGTTTCACTTGCGAAAATTCCAGCCTAGGCCCGTGGGAAGCAGAGCTAGGGGCCTCCTGCGCCTGGTTGAAAACGGGGCTTCTTGGCCCAGCCGAGGTGGTGAGGCTTCTGCTTCCTGGCGGCAGGAAGCTGTGCTAACCCCAGACAGAGTGGCCTTGCTGCGCGTCTTTGAGCTGCCCACAGGGACAGAGCGGGCAGTCTGAAGGCCTGAGTGTGGCTCTCCCGTCTCTGTGCCCGTAGTGAGGGTGTGACGACTTGTGTGGGGGCCCGTGCTGTGTCTGAGGGGGCTGGCCCTGGGCTCACCTGCCCTCCGTCCCCAGACACATCTCGAAGGCCCAAGGACTCGGAGCGGGAAGGCCAGGGCTACAGCTTTGTGTCTCGCGCGGAGATGGAGGCCGACATCCGCGCGGGGCGCTACCTGGAGCACGGAGAGTATGAGGGCAACCTGTACGGCACACGTATCGACTCCATTCGGGGTGTGGTCGCGGCCGGCAAGGTGTGCGTGCTGGATGTCAACCCCCAGGTACCGCCTGGCCCGCCCCTCCCGTCTGCCCACCTGTTCTCTGGGCACTCGCTGGCCTCCCCCATCACACGCCGTCTGTTCCCAGGCACTGCCTCAGAGGCGCCCCTGTGAGCGCTCACTCTCCGAGCCATCCAGCCTGCTGGAATCTCTTTTTCAGCCTCCTGAGCCCACCCGGTCCTCAGCCTCCCCCACTTACCGCGTCCCCACCCACCTGCCGCTGCTCCTCTGTCACTCATCCTGGGACGTGTCCCTTCTCGTGCATTCCCAGGGACAGTGGCCCAGCTGTCCTTCCTCCTGCCCCCAGGGTGTCCGTGGGGATGTACCTCCCGACCCCCTTCTTGTCCTCAGGCGGTGAAGGTGCTGAGGACAGCTGAGTTCGTCCCGTATGTCGTGTTCATTGAGGCCCCCGACTTTGAGACTCTGCGGGCCATGAACCGGGCTGCGTTGGAGAGTGGGGTGTCCACCAAGCAGCTCACGGTGAGGGACTCTGCTGGGCAGGGGGAGGGTGGGGTGGCCGCCTTTGGTCTTGGGGGTAGTTGGAGCTGATGAAGAGCAGGTAGTGCCAGAGAAGGGGAGAGGCGCCACCCAAGGTGTCAGTGAGGCAGGACTTCCGATTTCTACTTTAATAGGTGTGGAAACAGCCTTCTGCGCCAGGAAGTGGGGCGCCCTAAGCCACTGAATCAGGGACACAGCCAGTTCAGGGTGCAGGAGTTACTGACTTAGGCCTACTGCTCAATCTACCCTGAAGGGACAGAATTCTGACTACGGGGCTCCAGTGGGCAGCCCTGTGGGCAGAGACAGCCCGGTGGGCTCAGGGCCATTTACTGCTGGGGGGAGGCTAAAGGGAGAGAGAAAACCAGAGACTGGAAGGCTGGCTAGAAGGACGAGTTATCATCAGTGAGGAGATTACCCTGGGATCAGAGAATTCAAACAGGTGTTATATGATTCCAGGACACCCCCTCCCCCCACCTTGGAGCCCCCCTTTCTCCAGATGTAGTGCTTGATGAACCTTGCACCCGGGGGCCCTCTGCTGGTCATATCTGGTCCTACAGCTCTCCAGCTGCAAGTCTGAGTTGGGCTCAGGTCTGGGAGAGGCTGACTGGGCAGGGCTCCCCCCCACCCCCACCCCTGCAGGTCCACTTGGCCTTGAGCACAGCTGATTGGAGCTTCCGAGACACAGCCGGACGCCCGTAGATGCTGCCTTGCTTCATTTATTTAAGTCAATCTTGACGTTCCCTTTCCACCAGTGCTGGGCCAGCGTCAGCTGGGTCTGGGGGGAGCGTTGCCAGGCACTGGTGGTTGCCTAGGGCAGGTGTGGGAGGTACCTCTCTGGTCAGAGGGCCTCCTTAGACTGCAGGGAGCACTGCCTTTGGAGTCAGGCAGACCCTGTTCAGTCACTGGTTGGCTGTATGACCTCCCTTTTCTCTGTTGCAAACAAGGGTAACGAGTTTGCTTTGCAGAGCTGTAGCGGGCTAAGCATTGCAAAGCGCTCCTTGCCTTGCATGGCACTTGGTAATTTCCTTCTTTTCATGCATCAGTCTATGGTTGCAAGAGAGCTGCAACCTTGGGGCCCATGAGCCAGGAAGTCTGTACCAGCCTTGCTCCGGCTTGGGGTGGGGGTTGGGGGGGGCATGTAGGCCCCTGATGACAGGAGTCGCTGACTGGCGAGAGGTCCCCTTATTTGGAGCAGGAGGCAGACCTGAGGCGGACAGTGGAGGAGAGCAGTCGCATCCAGCGGGGCTACGAGCACTACTTTGACCTCAGCCTGGTCAACAGCAACCTGGAGAGAACCTTCCGCGAGCTCCAGGCGGCCATGGAGAAGCTGCGGACGGAGCCCCAGTGGGTGCCCGTCAGCTGGGTGTATTGAGCCTGTTTGCCCGGACCTTGCTCCTTCTAGGCTGTGACCCAGAACCCTGATCTCTCCCTTTGCCCCTCCGTGACCCCCAGCTACCACCCTCGGCCCTACCCCTGGCTCTCCCTGAATAATGGCGCCTCGCGGGCCCTAAGTCTGGTTCAGTGCAGAGGCGTGCACTGCCAGGGGGGTGGGTGTTCATGGGGCACCTGTGTGCCCAGGTGCTGCCCACTCCCGATGCCCATTGGCCACTAGATGTCCCTCTCTGAGAGCTCAGCTGTGCCCGGGAGGGTGTCAGAGTCACCTCCATAAAACTCAGTCCAGAGAAGGAGAAACCTGCCGCAGCCGAGCAGTGAGTGGGCACAGCGGCCCCCCCCCCCCCCCCTTCTGCTCTGGACTGGCCACCCCCACCCACCCCCCCGCCGCCCCGCCTCTCCTCGCTCTGCCGGGGCAGGCTTCAGGCTGTTTCCCTGTGGCGGTGGGTGGCACGTGGCCCCTGTGGCCCAGCGAGGAGCCAAGGCTGAGCCAGTGGTCACTGTCGGGGGGCAGAGCAGCCCTCAGCTTCCTTGGAGCGGAGCTGGGTCTCACGAGTGGACGCTGCCTTGTCCCTCCCTCTCCACAGCTTCTCACTGCCGAAGTCTCCCCACAGACTTCCCGGATGTGCCCTGACAGGTCAGCTCGCTTCCCTCGGGCCAGGCTGCCTGGCTCAGCCGGTCCGCGGCCAGGCCAGGCCAGGTGGTTGGAGGTTGAGCCCGCGACGAGGAGCCCGCGGCCTGACCCACGAGCCCAGGGACGTGCCTGGGCTCCCTGTCTGTGGCCGATGTCGCTTGGGTCGCTCTCAGAGCAAGCCCAGGGGACCCGTCACAGGGCTGCCCGGCGTGCGAAGGAGGGTGCAGAGGCACCGTGTGAGGCAGGTCCAGGAGCCTGGGCTGGAGAAGGCGCCTGCGCCCTAGCGGCCTCCGGGGGGCGCCACCCGCGTCGTCGCCTGTGGTCGTGTTTCCGACCAGTAGCGCCTGGGCCGTGTTTCTGCCTCGTGTTGGCGTTGGTTTTGGAGAGGGGAAGCAAAGGATTGTTTGTTTTGGAGGTCACTCTTTAGGGCCCTTTGGGGTTCCCTTTGAGCTCTCACTTCCTAGCAAACCCTTACTCTAGATTCTAGAGCCTTGGCCCTCCCCAGATGCCTTCCTCCAGCTTTCCTGTTGTCCCCCACCCTAAACCCACCTCCTGTCCTTGGGGAGGGCAATTGTGTAAAATAGCAGAGTCCCTTTTCAGAGAGAATACTGTCCGAGACTTCCCCAGGCATCTCACCCCTCCTCCTTCTCTGTGACCCTTCAGGGGTAAGCCTGTCCTTGCTGGGAACGCCCCAATGCCCTTACCCCCAACCCATGTGCTTTCCAGTACCCCTGAGCGTCCCTCCCGTCCGCCCTTGCTGCAGTGTCAGCCCAAGCTGGCCCTTGAACCACTGTGTGCCCATTTCCTGGGGAAGGGGAGGGAGAAGAAACAGAATATTTATTACAAAGTTAGAAATATATTTATTCTATTAGGAATCTCATTTGCATTTGTGTGGGATATGCAAATGAGATACAAAGGCCAAACCTCCCATCTCATTTGCATAGCTCTTATCCACTATGCACCCATCTTTATACGCCTCTTTCCCCCCTTTAGTTGCTGTTCTTATTCCTCGGTTCAGCTCTCCCATCCCTCATCCTCACCCTCAGCCTAAAAGCACTGGGAATGGGAGGAGAATGGGGTTCTCCAGGCGGTGACCACAGGGGCCTTTGCTAGTTCCCACCCCACTGGGGAGTTGAAACTAGAGGCTTGGAAGGCTCTGTCGGGGTTTGATGCTGTTGGCATGCTGACCTCTGGTGGTGGTGGAGTGGGGTGAGGGAGGCCCCTTTTCTTCCCTCTGTTCCTCTCTCAACAATGTCCCATCTCCCGCCTGAGGCCCAGGACTGGGGGCTGGGTTTGCCGCTCAGCTCCCTCTCCTCTCACTGTGGATGCTTGTATTTGAGGGGGTCTCTTTCCCCCATTTCCTCACAGTCCCACCCCAGCTCCCTTCCCTGCTCCCCTCCCTCAACCATCCCGTTCCTGAGCTTTCTCTCCACCTGGTTTTCTTTCTTTTCCTTTGATTAAATGTGAAAGCAAGGCTTGTGGGCTGTTTGTCTTCGGCAGGGTCTGGTTGGATGAATTTGGGAGAGGGTGAGCGTGGGCAGCAAAGTCCAGATGACTCTGGAGTGGAAGCTGGTGTGACATGCTTGTGCTCTGTGACGACCTGCAGTCCGGTCACTCCACACTATCCACCCCCAGAAGATGCTCCTTCTAAATGCTGGTGTCCAGTTGCTGCGCCTTCACAGGAGCCAAGGGACTCACCACTCCATGGCTGATGGACTCAGCTCCACTGGAAACCTGCTGTGTGGCCTCCAGCAGGTGCTTCTGCTTCTCTGGGCCTCAGAGTCCTTCTCTCCAAATGTGCCGTGGGCTCTTGCAGTGCTAATGCTGTTTCTAAGTTCTCAATAGCAGTGACCACACACAATGATTGAAATGTCACCATAGGTTACCATGATTACACATATTTGTGTGACAACTCCTTCAGGGTTAAGGGATCAGCCTCTGAGTTCACCAGGGGGACCTGGAATGCCGCTCACCTGGTATCACTGAGGATTCTCAGAGGGAGCTTCGACTGTTCCCTTCTTGCGATGACCAGCTGTGGCACTGACCCCCTTCCTTACAGCATCCTCTCCCACGGAGATGAACTTGGAAGCAACTTGATTGGTGATTTGCAGGCTTACACGATCCACTTATTAGCTATGATGAGAATTTAGCAATGAATATTAAATATCCCAATTCTGAAATGACAATTCCCAGCACATAGGATGTTTTCCAGGTCCACTTTTTCTCCCTGTCTCCCACCAGGTTGTTTAGTTATTAGACAGCCTTCTCTGTCTGCTGGGGTACCCCCTGGGAACGGCATTTTTCTACCAGCAAACTAGGAGCTCTGTGCCTGTACTTCTGTTCTAATCCAGCGGGTCTCAATCCTGGCTTCATTTCAGGATCACCTAGGGGATTAAAGAGATATACAATTGTCCGGACTGACTTCAGATCAATGAAACCTGAAGTTCTGGAAAGGCTAAGTGCTGAAGACCTCAGTAACCTGTCACCTTTATTACTCATTTCTTCCTCACATCGTCGCAATGGGGGTTGGGCAGCAGCCCTAGCAGTGACCCAGGGACCCGGCCCCTTTTTAAGGCTTATTTAGTTATGCATACAAGAACTGGGGTACAGGCCAGAGGTGTGAGAAGTGAGAGGATGCAACAGAGACAGAGCGGGGAGCAGAACAGATCGGCAAAGTACACTGCTGAGGGGAGCAGGGGGCAAGACAGGAGAGGTCTGCTGCGCCATGTGGGTCACCTCCCTGGCGGGGGGATCGAACTTGTGCTACAGTGGCTGTGGAGAGTTTCACAGTGCTGCGCTTTAACCCATTGTGCCACCAGGGAGGGCCCGACCCAGCCTCTTTTCATCACCTGACACCACGGTCTTCACTGAGTGGATTCCACAGGCATCATGTGAGAGAAAGCAGGGTTTGCAGGGATGCCACGACTGGGTTTCCTCAGGGGAGCCTGGGAAATGTAGTCTCACTTGGTGCTCAGGGAGGGGAGCCGGAGTCTGGCCCATCTCTGCCAGGCTAGGGGTGGAACCCGGGAAGGCACATGCTTTCGAGGTTCTCCAGGTGATTCTAACATTTAACCAAGTTGCCAGCTGCTGCTTGTCTGTTCAACTATAACCTTAGGGTGGGAAAATTTTCCTTTTAGGCTCAAATTAGCATCAGGCTATTTTTCTAAAAAACAGTTGACTTCCTAAAGAAAGTTGACTTCCTAGAAGGAACTCCACCAGTTTTTTTTTAAAGATTTATTTATTTATTTATTCATACAGAACTGGGGTACAGGCCAGTGCTGCAGGGGCAGTGAGAGGATTCACCAGAGACAGAGTGGGGAGCAGAACAGGACGACTGATGAAGCACACTGCTGAGGGGAGCAGCAGGTGGGCAGCCAGGAGAGATCTGCTGTGCCATGCGGGTCACCTTCAGGGTGGGGATCAAACTCATGCTGAGGTGGCTTTAGCTTCTCAGTGCTGTGCTTTAACCCGCTGCGCCACCAGGAGGACTCCACCAGTTTTGGGTTTAACTCCCTTTTCCCTCAGTACAGAAGACTGTGGCTTCTAGGGCAGAATGGATGCTAAAGATGTCACAACTGGAAAAAATGCTCAGTGAGGTGAACACTTTGTCCACTGCCACCCAGGAAGCCCTGGGCAGAGCTGGAACTGGAGCCTCGACTTCTGTCCCCCATTGGGGTCCCCACATAATGCCTCCCAAAGCTAGAGGGGGGTTGGTTGGAAATGGCGGTGGGCGTACCCTGGGGGAGAAAGGCAGTGTTGGAGGAGAAACATGAGGGGGAGCAGGCGAGGAGGGGAATGGGATAAGAAAGGAACCCCAAGGGGAAGTGTGGGCTACCTTTCCACCCCAGGTTTCAGCTCTTCAGGAGAGCCAGGCCCCAATGTGAGGGAAGCACCCACCCCTCACACGGGAGCTGGAGGGTTTCTGATGCAGGTGCCCCTCATTTTGTTAAGTATTTTGTACTGGGATTGCTCTGCTGAACAGGGTCTTTCTTACCTGTTTTATCATTTAACACGTCAGTTCCTTCAGAGTTAGGGCGTAGATAGAGCCTTACGTATTTCCTCCAAACCATTTTACTGGACACCTTTTCCCCGCCTAGATTTACTTTTATTTATTCAAGAACTGGGGTGTAGGCGTGTATGTGAGAGAGAGAGATGATTCCCCAGAGACAGAGTGGGGAGCAGAACAGGCAGGCTAGCCTCGGCCAGGATTGAACTCACACCCCAGCGGCTGGAGACAGCTCGCTAGCGCTGCGTTTAACCCCTGCGCCACCCGGGAGACCCCTACTGACCAGACTTAGTCTCTGCATCCAGAGGCAAGGGGCCAGCACGGGAGCCCAGAGAAGCCCCCCTACTCGACTCGTGGGACAGTCAAAGTACTTTCAAGCGGTGCTGATGGAGCAAGTTCTGGAAATAAGGTAACATTCGCTGTGGGAGGTAATGAATGCTTGTGCACAATGGAAATGAGCTGGCATTTTGGTACTTATAATGTTGAATTTCTTAGTCTACTACCCAATTCTAGATGAGTGTGTGTGCCAGGTGTGGAGCAGGGGTGGCGGTGGTTGATGGAGTTGCTTCAAACTCTCTGTCGCTCGCTCTCCTATACCCTCTGCAGCTGCAGTGGGTCCCATCAGGACTTCACTACACTATGACTACAATAGTCTGAAGTATCAGAATGATAGCCATTTTCAGGACTGTCATCATGAGTGAATCAGAAAATTATTTTATTTTATGCTAGTCACAGGATCATGGGTCTCAGAAAAAAATACTGAAAGTGAGCCTGAGCCTGAAGCATAGGCTGTGGTGAGTGGCCAGGAGATGGGGCTGATGACTAGAGAAACCGCTTAGTCGCTCAGCCAGAGATGTTGCCGGGGAGGGCAGCTCACGAGAACGGCCAAGTGTCCCGAAAGGGGACCACCCTGGAGCTCCTGCACGGTCGGAGCCAGGGTCCCGGGTGATGCGTGACGTGGACCTGTGACCGCCACAATCACACGGTATCTGGGTGTGGTTTATACTTGGGTTCTCTGTTATTTCCCTTTCACAAGTCTCTGCCCAGGGCCATTGGCGGTAATTTCACACGTTAGAGAGAAGCAGACTCCCCCTGTCTCAGCAGTCCCGTCGCTTGTCCTTCTCCTGGGTGGCAGCCGGGCTGTGTGTTGCGGACCATCCTGTCTTGGCTCCAGGAGATCAGGAACCAAGCAGGAAGTTTGCCAGTTAGCCGAATGCATTTGGCTGCAAGGGTGATCCATGATTCTCTGTGGGGACTGTGGGTTTTATTCCATTACATACTGCGATAGGAAATACCCTGTTTTGTCTCTAACTTGAATGAAATCTTCCCTGAATTCTAGCTCATCAGTGTGGACAGAAGCAGAATCTCAGTTCTGATTGCTGGTTTGGGGGCGTCTTCCTTTCCCTAGAGTCACACAAAAACCTAAATGCCTGCCTGGAGAATGGGAAATGAGGTTCTAGCTCAGGGAGATGGTGTGCAAGCTACTTGGGTCTTTTAACAGTGAGATCCTATCAGAAGCCATTTTTTAAAACATCTTCTAAAAAGATTTATTTATTCATACAGAACTGGGGTACAGGCCAGAGCTGCAGGGGCAGTGAGAGGCTTCACCAGAGACAGAGTGGGGAGCAGAATAGGCAGA